GTTTATCCAAACTTTTAAACTGGAGATTGTACCTGAGCAAAACCTAATACAAATATTCTGGATTTCCAACATCACAATTACAATGTAGTGTCACCTCATTTAAACAAAAAGCTTAGAAATGATACCTACCCTTTCTGTTTGCAGCAACTTACCCCTTGACAGGATCAGTGCAATTTATTTCTGAGGTTCACAAATTGATGTTTGTACTGTCTGCTCTGTGTAAAGAGATCTTTTAAAATAACCAGAACTTCAGTTTCACTGAAGGAGTTCTCCTGATGCACTTGCTCAGGTTTTTTTCCTCCTTCCTGTGCCTACTTTGATGTCTCTTAGTAGTCTGGTTCAGTTACCAGAAGGCACCAGAAGAATCTGTGGTACGATGACATAGAGCAGGGCGGGGAGAGTTTCTGGTACGAGGGAGTTATAAGAGAATTCAAGGATGAAATTTTTGAATTACCGACAATAATGTGTAACAGCTCATGTAAAACTGCTCTTGTACCTGAGGACTGAAAGGTGGCAAATGTGATGCAAGTTTTTAAAACCCATTCTATGGAGAATGTAAGCTTTTGGGTGGCATATTTTTGCCAGGCAAATTAATAGAAACCTCAATAAGAATAGTATAAGAGGACACCTCATATTGTAAACCGCCTGTAAAGTGTCAACGTAATTCCTTTTTAAAGATAAATCATTCTTTACAAACCTGTTTATAGGGGTCAACAAACATGTGAATAAGGATGTTTTAATTGGCGTATTTTGAATTACCAAAAGGGTTTTTACAAAACCCCTTGGCAAAGATTTTTAAGAAAACTAAATAGGCATAAGAGGATCCTTACACGCCAAAAAGATACTTGTGAGGTGAGCTGAGGAAGCTTGTTAATGGTGAAGTTCTCCAAGGTAGTGAGGACAAAGAAAGACCAAAACATTGTGAAAGACCTTAATGAGACTGAGAAGTCAGAGAATAAATGACTGGTGAAGTTCCATCTAGATAAATGTAAAGCGATGCAAACGCAACAAAAACTTCACAAAACTTCACATAGAAAGTAATGTGCTATGAATTGGCCATGAACACTTTGGAGTGAGATCTCGGGTTTGTAACAGTGATTCCATGAAAACATCAGCTCAGAGTTCAGTACTGATTCACCCTGAGTATTGTATATGGTTTCTGTCCATGTCTTCAAAATATTTGATTGAATTTGTCAAATTGTGGTAGAATTGAGACTGGCAACAAGGATGCTCAAAGGAATGGAATAGTTTCCATGCGCAGAATGACTGAGCAACACAGGGATAACCTGGGATGTGGTACAGATGTTATAAAATTGAGTTGCATGGAGCTACATTTAAACAAAAAAGATTGTTTCTTGACACAGCAGGTTGTAGGCATTGGAACTCACTGCAAAGAGTGGAGGTAACATTTTACATCAGTTCAAGGGGTGACTGTGCAAGAGAACATCACTGGGATTTACCAAATACGCAGAAAACACCTGGGTTTGAAAAATTTCCGGTGAGAAAAATATGTGGACCTTGTGAAAATAGGGGAAATACCATATATGTTTGTGCTGCTCCTGTTCTTCTCTTGCTAACTACACATGATTGTTTTGGGGGATAAAGCAATAGGGTAGGTGGAGCTTCAGTAGACTTCAGCAGTTCTGTGCTTTTGGGTTGTCTGTTGCTACATTTGCATTTTTTAAGTGCTTTGAAAGTCATTGTCACTAGTCTCAGTAGTTGTAGAGTATTTCTCATGTTTGCATATTCTGAAATCGGGAAATAGAAGAATTAGTAGTAGATTACTGCTGAAACCTATCCAGATTCTGTTAATCCTTGCTCACTTTGATAGCTCAAGTGGTTTTAAGGAGACTTGTTGCAAGAAGATAGTATCTTCAACTTTATCGGAAAGATATTTTTAAATTTAACTTTTTATTAAACCAATTGAGATAGGAGAACAAGACTAAAAGGTTTTTAAACTTAGTTATGGCTACCAGAGCACTGTGAATCGCTTTATTAATTCTTCCTGTAGCATAAACAGTGTAATGCAGATTTTTATTTGCATTTGTGGTAGCTGTTAGCTTCTGTTATTATTTTGTTTTATAGAACTGGTTTTTAAATGCCTGTGTTCCCCGCTGAGCAAAGTATGCTGCGTCATTTCCTAGTATATACCTCAACAAATTACTCTCTCCCTCTTTCCTACTCCCTCCCTCCCTGCAGTGAAGAGGATAATTTTGTGTGGTGATCTGAGATCGGTTTACCCTGCAGCATTAGTCTTCTAACAGAGAGATACTATTTTATTTTTCCACCATGCTGTAATCCACCCCAGTTTCTCATATATTTAAAACCTATTAATTGTTAATGTTGCACTTCTTGAATTCTAATCATGACCAGACTACATGCGGGGCTCTGGTTTGGGAAGGATCATTAGCCGTTCCCCTGGGGATCCCGAGTGGTACTTTCTGGAGGCAGCGTGAGCTGTATTATTTGTGAGAGTTTGTCCTTGTGTGGCTACATCTGTTTGAAACTGGGACTTTGTGCATAGTCTGCATTGTATGGTTTTGAACTGAATTGCCTAATGCTAACGCTGTGGATTGTTATCTGGAATGCACAGAGGAATCATTGATCACTGCTTCTTTTTGCCTTTTTATTTTTTAAACAGGACTGCAGACGCTAGTGGGTATTTTTGCTATTTCTTTTCACTGATCTCTGACGCTTCAAATGGTTGAGGTATTTTTCAGCACTACTCTCTTGTTCTAGATTACCTGATCTAACAATTAGTAGTTAGTTGAAAAGCAAAACATATCTCCTGTTTAAGAAAAACAAGCTATTCCCTAATGGTACAACAATCTTCGTATGTATTATAAATGTAATATATATTGACTGGCATATCTATTAGAAAATGGATGCTCAAAAAACTTTTAATCTGCATGTATAATTGTTATATATTATACAGGGTAATGCAATAAATGGTACAAGTCAGAGAATTTTTTTTATTTTAAGCTTTTAAACTTTAGACTGTCACTGTATTCTAGATACAGAGGAAACAGGAAATAGATTTTTTTTTTTTTTTTACTTTATGACATTCATTGTAACAACACTAGTGTCATTTAATAATTCTGTAGTTCATTCTAGACAAGGTGTTTTTACTTTTGTAATTGTCATAATATGGTACCCCTATGGTAATGAAATACAGTATTTAATGGCAAAAGCTGACAAAAATTATATCATCGTTCCAGAAAATTTGTTAGCAATGACATTTGCAAAACCATGCATTTGGTTTAAAAGGAATGTAGCAAGAAACCTATGTAGCCATAGTCCAAAAAAAAAAATGTTAAGTGTTTAATAGATTATCGGAGAATGTATTCTCAGGCAGATATGATGCAATATGTTTTTCTTGAATTTGTGTATTTGTGCATGTGCATATATGTGGAGAAAATCCTCATTAGTGCAGGCTTCTCTGGAAGCTTAAATGTATACTAATGGAAAATTGCAATCTTTATCATCAGGTTTAGAAAGTCTGGAAGCAGCTAATTTACTGTTATAATTCTTTAACTAATGAATCAGTAACTTCAAGGTTTTTATCTTCCTTTTGTAAGTCAGCTTAGTATCAAATATGTGATGTGTGCCATCCGAGATTAAACAGCCAGATTAAACCAACAGGTTCAGTTTCTTCAAATAGTACTGTAAAGGAAAAAAAAAACCAACACTGGGACTGCAAAGCAAGCTTCAGAAAAGTATAACTTTATAAAAAAATTGAACTGTTTTCTCCTGTGCTAGTTTAAAAACAGAGTTGGGAAATGGGCACTTATCTTTTCTTGTAGACCGCCATTTTTTGCCTTCTCTTCAGAATCCATTTCTCATCTTAAATAAGGATGGAGGACCACACGTACACGGATGCTCATAGGATAATGCGGATTGAAAGGGACCTCAGCGGTCATCTGGTCCAACCTCCTGCTCAGAGCAGGGTCAGCTGTGAGATCAGAGCAGATAGTCTGTTTTACATGAATTAGAAAAATATGTTTGAATCTTTTTGAGTCAGGAAATTAATTTTAATGTGTATCCATGCCACATCAGGAAAAAATGACATATTGTGTTTAACTGAGGCCTCGATGCAGTAGCAGCTATGAACTCTTTTTCTGTAACATCCAGTGTCATTCCCCAGCTCCTGCAGTGTTAACAACAGAGCTCTCTGCAATCTTGAGGATATTCTAAACTGGTGACCAACAGAAGTCCTAGTATTTATCAAAGATGAAATCAGTTCCTAGTTCCTGAAAAGGTTCAGTCAAATTTAGGATTAATATATTCAGTGCTTCATTTATCTCACATTTTTCACAGTGTTAAAATGTTTTCTGAAGCGTGGTAAGTTCGGTTCCGTTTGCTGGTACAAAGACTCCCTGACTGCTCCTCCAAACTTCAGCCTTCCCATGGGTTCTGTCACTCATCAGTTCTGCGTGGAAATGTTTGGGGATTGCAACCTTTTTTCCCCTGCAGGTGATGTTTCTAATGGAGCCTGCAAAGGACCTCCTCTCACAAAGAGATCTCCAGGAGAGACTGTTTTCCAAATAAGTGCTAATATCTATCATTGAACAGAAAAACAAGTAGAGATAAATGACAGTGATTTGTTAGGGGGCAAAAGTGGTTTCTTGTAGTGTGGCTGTTGGATCAGCAGGTGATAGGGGGAGGCTTTCAGGGGGCTCTTTGCAATTCAGATGCGATAGTGGGGCCATGCAGCGTGGAGGATGTGCAGGGCTGGGGGAGGAACTATTGAGTAGCCTGGGGAAGGCAGCAACAATGGAGCTACCTTTTCTTCATAAGCTCTAGCATGCTACCAATTCCCTAACCTGTGTTAAATCTAATTATTATGAGGGCTGAAATTCTATTTCCTCCTGTTTATCTCAAAAAAGCAAAGAAAAGAAAAGAAAAGAAAAAGCTTCCAGCAGAAACTGTTCTTTTTGATTTTTCTTCTGTACTATATATTGCCCTGAAAAGTTGTAAATTGATTATTGTTTGTTCTCCAGATGGATCCTGTGCAAAAAGCAGTCATAAACCATACATTTGGAGTGTCTATTCCCCCAAAGAAGAAACAAGTCATTTCCTGTAATGTCTGCCAGCTTCGCTTTAACTCTGATGTGAGTATTGGCTATTTTCATTCCTTTTTATTTTTTTTTTTGGTACAATTAATATAATTAATCTAAACTTCTATTTCCCAAACAAATCATTCCCTTTCTGCCTACATTCTGCTCAGCCTGCTGGGCTGATATTTTGTCCGCTCAGAGGTGGAAGTCCACAGAGGTACATCACTCTTCAGTTTTCTTGAATGGGTCTGGCACAATACCCAATGCCACGTCCATTAACGATAGCCCATTTGACAGTCAAGTAACCTTCAAGATATACTGCAAAAAGAAATCTTTTTTTTTTTTTTTTTTTAAAGGGGGGGCAGACAGAAAATCTTCCCTGTGAGTTCTCCGTGTCATACCTGCTCTTCTTCCAGAAGAAATACCTTTTTCCTGTTGTTCGTACATACTTGCTGATAATATCACTTCCAATTTCTTAATAAAGTCACTCTTCCAGTAACTTTCATTTGTAATAAAAATGAACATTTACTTCTATCTGTCTTTTTGAATATGATAAAGTTCACGGAAACTGTTTTCTGAGGTGCAATTAATAAAAATGCATTACAAAAGAGTACATTGACTGATAGGTTTAAAATATATATCCAATTAATGTTTTACCTGAGTAGCTTGAAAATTAAAGAAGTTCAAGAAAACTATGTCTAAGAAAATTATGACCTTCAACACTTTAAAAATGTGTATTTCTTCTTGGAGGTTACTTACTAATGTCATTAAGCTAATAAAAAAAAAAAACACCAAAATTCTCAGATTGTTTGTTGATCTCAAGTGTAAGAACAAATTGTTGTTATGTGTTAATATTATATATTTTGCTGTTATAATTTCAGTCTAAGAAATAGTTGCAGACACCTCCTCAAAGCCTTCGAGTACTTGGTGCTCCTAGAGATTCGCAGTAAAGCACCCATACCTATTACTCTGATTTTCTCTGCCTCTACCATTCCACTTTGAAAAGTGTCTTGTAAAGCGGTTTCCCCAGTTTGGCTTTCTTGTCTAAGCTGGTAAGGATTTTGAAGCAGTGCTGTCTTACCTTCAAATTGATTTCTAAATCTGTCATCTTTTGACAAGCTTATTAAACTTTCTTTGAAGTGGCAATATCTACCTAGTTAACCGATTTCAAAAGTTGTTATTTAAAATTTAGTTCACTTATCTTTCTTCTTTCAGGTTAAGATTTAAGGTCAAAAAAATCTTTGCTCTGATACTTGGTCCAGATACCTACTTCTGTTGATTAAAACAAGGAGCCAGTAAAGTTTATAAAAAAGTTTCCCTAGGCTCCATGGATCTGAATCTTGCTTCTGAGTTGGATCTTACTCTGTCACCAGGGAGGCAGCTCAGCCTGCTCCTGCTCTTCCCTCTCCTCCTGAGGTCAGGGTCCCTCTGATGATGGGTCCTGTCCCTAGAGGAGTCGCTCACTTTGTCTGCACTGACATTCACGTGGACAAACAGCACTTCAGGCAGACAGATCGAATCACAATTTAGTGGCTCACACCAAAAAAAGCTGAAATATTATATCACTCTGTACATCTGCCAACCAAGCAATTTTTCCTGTCTAGACTTACTGACAAAGTAGAACAAAAAGTGCGTATCGTATTCTGCTTTCAATGGTGGCATCACAAAAGCATGACAGATTATAACCTTGTTTCCTCTTCTGGGGCGGGTGTATTCATACAGTATCATGCTCCTTTCTTTCTTAACGGTTGGACTTGATGATCTTAAAGGTTTCTTCCAACCTAAAAGATTCTGCGATTCTAAATGTGATCAATATGCTCAGTTCTAGTTACTAGAAAATATCATAATCCTTTTGTAATGGATGGTTGTAAGAAAGGATGAATTATCGTGACTGTGCTGCTGTTAGTGATAAAATGCAGTTTATTATTTTCTACAGCGGTTTGCTTTACAGGACATGCAAAAACAACCTGGAAATTTGATTTTAGAATGTGCTGAGATTCTAGTAGTGTTATTAATACTAGAAAGTACTTAAATATAAACTCAAGTTTCACAAATATTTCATAACCACAGCATAGAGGAATATTTGAAGAACAAGTTTTCATAGTATAGCCCTCCTATTTTAAAAGCTGTCTAGCCTTTCATTGGATTATTCAGCTTCTCCTGGAAAGCTTACATAAGATTTTAAATCTTTCCTCCAGGTTCAGTCTTTTGACCTTGAGAGTTATTTATCTAAGCGTTTGTTGCCTTTTACTTTCTGAGAGAGCAAGACCTTATTTTATTCAGATATTATTCTCACCACCACCCTTCCATAATCTGCGTTGTCATAATTTCACTGAGGTAATGCTAATGGCCTTTTAACTAAGCTCTGCAGAAGCTTTTGTAATCCCTTGATGGAATTTTCTTACGGACACGCATGAAGGCAGATATTTTCTTGTGGCAGTTATTCCTTGAAAAGATGATGCATAGTTCTTTCTTAGCTCGTTAAAAGCTCCTTCATAGAAATAAAAATCTGGACTCTTTGCTTGTATTTTTCTTTTTGGTCCCTTTATAATGTGAAATCATGCTTAGGGGGTGGAATGGTCTTTACAATCTATCCTGTGTTTGCAGACTGGGGAAAAGGGAGTCAGATATTTGTGAACCTTGTAATTGTTGAATCTTTCAGTGAATCAGTTCCACCACGTAACATCCTAAGAATGTATTGAGAGCCTTTCGGGTGGCATCAAACTGTGATAACCTGCATTAAAACCTTGAGCATAGCACATTGCAGAATGAGCTTTGTAGTACAGCCACTTCACACTTGCAGCTTCTTTTAGCTCTACAAGGCTGACATGTTCCTTATTGTTGGTGGGCATTTTGTTCCTTTGAACTTCCTTTGGCCTAAATTATGCAAGCAAATGAAATAGAAATGACAGAAGTAAGCTATTAAGTAGTTTTCTTACTTTTGTTCTCCTAAGTGAATTTCAGTTGCATGGTGTTTGAGGATTCTGACCTGATTCTAGTAGTGCTTTATCTGTTGCATGAGTAACATACAGACCGGTGGATATTCAGCTGTAAGAAGAAGAAACTTGGTTTCCTTGCCTGCAATCTTTTCCTCACACTGTGAACACTCACTGATCTGGAACAATGGACCAAAAAAATTCGGACTAGTCAATTTATAGTTGCCAAACCTCCCACTAAATTAATACAGTAAATTGCAAAGGTTTCAGTTTTCTTCTGCAAGTGTGTCTGCAGGCTTAGTTTGGTGAGAGTGTTCTGGCATCAGATTCAGAGGCAGAGATCTGCAGCATTTTATCTTTTAATTTCTACATGATGATGAAACAGTATGTTCTAGTGCAGCAATGACTAGTGTGTCAGTAAAGTTCTAGCTATGGTCTTGTGTTATAATCCAGCTCAGAAAAAATGAGATATATCTCAGTTATATTTACTACCACCAGAGACCATGCAACAGAAGAGGAAGAATCCTCTTCATGGAACAGATTGTGATAGTGAGTCAGATTTTACGCTTGCTCAAAGGCCACCTGAGTAAGGGACGTAACTGTATTCCACCAAGAGGAAGCAAGACATGCTGAGAAAGATCTAGCTTAGCCTTTGAAAAAAATTTTTTTTTTTTTTTCATTTTAAGAATTCTGGGATTCCTTCCAAACCCATGCTATATCTATGTGGACTATAGATAAGTTTTGCTAAATAAGTTTTCATATTAATTACATAGGTCTGGTTTGTTGATATTAATTATTTATATTGCAGACGTTGTAGCAGAAACAAAACACAGCTTGAGTGAGCTTGCTGAATCCTTGTGATACCCATAAGAGGGTCCAGTAGCAACAAGGCAAGGGGGAAAATGTCTGTTTTCTATCCCACATAGATTCCTTCTCTGCCTACTCTTGGCTCGTTCTTTCTCATTCCTTCTGGCCACCAGATGAATCTGCAGCATCTCCTGCAGCTGCTGTGTGGCACTAAGTTCCTCCAGCAGCTGTGAAGCTTTGGCCAGACTGTCCTGAGATATCTATTATAATCTGTTGTAGCATCTGACACTGTGGCTTGCAGCCATAAGAGAAAAGTGAGTTGCAGTTGCAAGGATACCTGTTTGACTTCTGCAGAATTGCTTTTTTCTCCATATATATGAATATCACCTTATGTTCAAGTAACCTCTCTCTTCACTTCTTCCTCATTGTTGGTATTGATAGTCCACAGAGTTTTCAGAGCTTGGGCACTCTGCAATAATGTCAGTGCTAATCCAGTCCCTTTCCTCAGCAGCCAGACCTCTCTGTGCTCCAAACTCACAAATATATTATGCTAGCAGTCCACATGGTTTTTTATTTGTTTTTCTGTTTCATGATTTTTTTTTGGAAAATAGTTTGTCATCTGTTGATCACATCTGAAAGAAGTATCTGCTTCCCTCTACACGCTTTCAGTTTCTTGTGGAAGGGTCTTTGGCTGTGATACAGCCTGGTAGGTACCATCTTGTTGATAGGATATCATTTGATTGAAATAAACTTGTGTTTGTGCAGTGTGTTGCTCTGTGAGTGATGACTGTTAAGTCAGTACTGCTTTTTGGTGTCACCTGCGAAGACTAGGAAATCAAGAAAAAACACCTTGTAGGCAGATCAGAAAATGCAGATGTAACAGTTGGGCATTAAGAGATGCTGAAGGTCATCTTATTGTTGAATGTATTTATAGGTAATAAAAATTATGTGGTGATAGTGATCATCATTTTAAAAAGCCAGAAGGCAATTTTTTGCAGTTTAGGCAAGTATTACCAAATGTTAACTTTGCAAATTTGAATGAATCACTCATGCTGTCAAAAAGACAACACACAAAATAATCAATAGCATCAAATAAAAATCTACAGAACTGTCATAATCTTTTGTCAAATGTTTTACATTTTCCCTATAAATAAGACTATTTATATTGATTCTTTGGGTATGGAGGGTAGTGAGGTGGATAGGAGGTAATTAAAAGCATAAATCTCAGGAACTTGTGAAGGTAATTTTCTGTTTTGTAGACAGAACTGACAAAATGATGAAAGTTGTTAGCTCCAACATGACAGAAATATT